CCGAAGGCGAAACATGGGAGAGAAGTGAAGAACTGATTAAAAGTCTACTGAGAGAAAAACTGGATATTAAAGAAGATATACAAAATAAAGTTGTGGAAGGAAGATATCTATATTAATAAAGTATCCTGCGAGCATACAACCAGTATTCACAAACAACTTTTCCAACAACCAAAAGAATGATAAGCATCAGGTAAGTTGTCCAAGGTTGTGTACAATAATCACTAAGCTAAATAATAATGAATGAATTTGAAAAATAATAATAATTTTGAAAATGGTTTTAAATTAATGATTTAAATCGGATAAAGAATCGGATCCAGACATAAATTACTTTAACAAAATTAATTTGCCTGAACTTGTATACTCTTACTTTCAACCAAATAAAGTTAGTAACTTCATAGGAGTGGGTAATAAAAGTGATTATTTTAATGTCATTCACATGAATATTAGAAGTTTAAAAAGAATTTTGAAAATTTTTTGAATTTAATTTACAAAACCAATAATTGTTTTAACGTTGTTTGTGTAACCGAAACTTGGTGTTCTAAAAAAGATTTTGTATTAAATTCTAATATCCAAATAAAATCTAATATTCAAATAAAATTCCAATATCCAAATAAAATCTAATACTTCAATAAAATAAAAATATCCAAATAAAATCTAGTATTTAAATAAAAAAGTAAACCACCTTCACTCTTATTATTGTTGCATTATGAAAAAATCTTTTTAAAACCCAACCTAGAACCCAGGTTTTAAAGAGAAGGTGGAGTACTTTTTTATTTTAAAGAAAACATTTTTTATAAAGTTTGAAGCAATATGATTGTTTCTGATATCAATCAAGAGATCTTAACAATTGAACTAATAAACTAAAATTCTAAAAACATTTTAATCAGCTATAAACCTTCAATTGGAACATCAAAAAATCTTGTCAAATTTTTGAAAAACAATCTAATAGGAAAAACTAGTCAAGAGAAAAAAATAAGTCATATTTTGGGTTTAAACTTCAACTTAGATTCTTTTGAGTATAGCAAAAACCAAAACATAAAAACAATTTATTTGAAATAGGAACCATACCAATAATAGATAGACCAACTAGAATTACAAATCGACTTAAATTGATAATATATTGACCACAGTCGACTTAAATTGATAATATACTCACCACAGACTATTTTAATAAATCTCTAAAAAAAAAGATTTATAAAAAGTGATGTTTTTGATCATTTTCCCATATTTTTTTCTATTAAATCAGGTTATCAAATAAAAGATGAGGATAGAATGAGAATAAAAAAGCGAACTGTTAACAAAGGTAAATTAAAATTATTCAAAGATCAAATTTTACAGCAGGACTGGAATCACATTAACTTTAATGATAAATAAACATTTAAAATACATTTTTTAAAACTTGCTTTAAAATCTATGACGCTAATTTTCCAATATGTGAAATAATTCTCAAGACCAAAGACATATCTTCTTCAAAGACATATCTAACTAAGATCTTCTTAGATAACTAAGGGACTAAAAAAGTCTTCAAAACTAAAGCAAAAGTTGTATAATAAATACTTAAAAACAAAATCTGAAAAATATAAAAAAAATTACAAAAACTATAATAATCTTTTTGAAAAACTCCCCAAAAAAGTTAAAAAAGCTCTTAATTTAAAAAAAATTATTCTTAATTGCTTACTAATTTAAAACACGTCTGGGAATTAATGAAAGAATTTACAGGAAAGCAAAAAGTAAGTTTTATCTCTCTTCCACTTGCAATAAAAGTTGGAAATAAAATAATGAATGATACTAATGAAATTGCAACTGAATATAACAAATTTTTTTCCTCAATAGAAGCAAATTTATCAAACAAAATTATTTTAACAAATTATAATTTAACAGATGAACTTCAAACATCAAAATCTAATTTTTAAAAACCCAATGCTTGATGAATTTTGATATAGCTTTTAGATTGTTAAAAATAAATAAGTCAGTAGGACCTGATGAAATAAATGAATTATTGTAATAGACCCTTATGAAGTCATGAAAGATATTCTTTACAAAATATTTAAAACAACAAGGTTTCTTCCCAGGCTCTTTAAAAATAGCAAAAGTTTTTAAAATAGGAAATCCAACTAATATAATAAATTACAGACCTATTTCTGTTCTTCCAGTTTTTTCAAAAATGTTACAAAGAAAAATGTATAACAGAGTGTACACATACCTAATTAACAATAAACTCTTTTATGAAAATCAGTTTGGTTTTAAAAAAAAACAACTCAACCGAATATGCTATTCTTAAATTAACACGTTGTATTAACGAGTTTTTCAAAAATCAAAAATTTACACTTGGTGCTTTCATTGACTTGTTTAAAGCTTTTGACACAATCAGTCAATATATTTTGCCTAAAAAACTTGAATGCTATGGAATAGCAGGTAAAATTCTAAGTTGGTTCAAAAGTTATTTCTCCAACCGAAAGCAAATTGTTTTTAACAAAGATTCCCAATCTCAAACATTAATGAACATAACATATGGTGCCCACAAGAATCCATACTTGGACCACTTCTTTTCATTATATATATAAATGATCTTAACAAAGCATCCAATTTAAAGACTATAATTTTTGCAGACGTCACAAACTTGTGTCAGTCACATGAAAATATAATCATATTTGTAATAATATGAACAGAGAACTTGAAAAAGTTTCATTTTGCTTCAAAAAAATAACTTATTTTTAAAACAAAATGGATACTTTTCTATCTAAACTATAAAAAACAGATACTACCTGTAAATATGCCTGGACAATGTCATCCTAAAAAGAGAAAAAATGACAAAATTTTTAGGATGACATTGTCCAGGCATATCTACAGGCAGTATCTGAAATATTACTGACATGTGGTCTCAGAGACCACACATCAGTAATATTTCTAATAAAGTTACAAAAAGAATTGGAATTCCATACAAATCCAGACGTATTTATAAACAAAAACCATTTAACAAAATTATACTACACTTTTATTCATTATCATATAAATTATGCAAATATTATATGAGGAAGTACTCATAAAACTAAACTAAAATCTCTTTATTGGCATCAGAAACATGCAGCTTGCATAACAAATTTTAAAAATCATTTTTCAAACTCTAAACTGCTTTTTAAAGAAATGGACGCCTTAAATGTTTATCCACTAAATGTATTTAATGTTTTGTGTTAATGTGCATATGTAAAGAACTTATGTCCCCTGATGTTTTTCTAAACTTTTACAAATAAAACCCAAAAACACATATAATCTACATAATAATAACATTCTAGAAAAATCTATTTGCAAAAATAAATAAGCTTAATTTTGAATATCTTATTGTGGGCCTTTTCTCTGGAATGAAATAGCAAGGCCTAATTTTGTTTTTTCATCTGAATTGACCTATTGTTTTTTCAAACAATCTATTAAAAAAATTATTTTTTCAACAAAAAATAATTTTTATTTTATTTTTATTTTTTAAAAAATGTTTTCAGTTGCTATACTGTATATTGTATTGACTTGTTATATTTTATAGTGAGTTTTACTTTTGAAGTATGTACAGTATTACATTTATGATATACTTAGTAGTTATATTTTTTTGGTATATATTTATTTTATAAGGTATATAGATGTTTTTATTGTAGAAGAAAATAGTAATAGATCAAACTTTCAATGCCATCCCATAAATTTGGTCACTTTATACATTCCTATTAACAGATTGCAATATTACAAGTTTAACATGGCAATGTCACAAGTTTAAGATCCGAATAACGCATCTCAATAACATTGCAACATCACAAACTTAACATCAAAAATTATGAAAACTAGTTTTAATAATTTTTAAAAGTTAAAATGATAAAATTAATTATTAATTCTATAATAAAATAATGAAACAAAAAAGTTTAATTCCATTTTAAAAAACTTTTTTAATTTATAATTTTGATAAAAAAAAAGCTTATAAAAAAACAAAAATCAAAAATTATTTTTAGCAAACAAATTTATTTAGATGTCTTTTAAATAAACTAATATTAATTTTTATCATTTATTTCAGAGATTGCTTATTTGAAGTGTAAATGTATGATTTTGACATTTTTATTTGCAAGCACATTTTTTCAGTGTAGTGCATTTAAGAACTTTATTTTTTGTTGGTTCATGTACACTTAAGTCACATTTTTTACATTCATCATTTCACGACATTCCCGCTAATTGTTGTTTTTATCCTTTAGTTATGTGTTGCGCTTAATTCAAAATTGACCGAAGTTATGATATTTTAAAATTTCTTATTTGAAGAAGCAGAGTACTTGATATTTAAAAATTAAATTTTTTTTTCCAAATATAGTTAACTTGGTGACTCTTGTTAATATTAGTGGTAATTTGATCATTTTATTCAATACCTTGATTATTTTAGATTTGAATTGTAACTTAATTTCAAAACTCAAACAACAAAAGTTTTGCGGATTTCAATTAAAATTAAAAAATAAACTAATTATTTCAGCAGATTTTAAATAAACATTAAAAAATTAACAAAATACTTTAGCAGATTTCAATCAACATTTTTTTATGATTATAAAGCAACAACAAATTTTATTGGAGAAAAAAAGTTCGTAAAAATTAAACAATGCATGCATTTTTGTTATTTATTCTTAAATAACCCAAGTTACATAGCAACCAAATTTAGGCAAAATTAGGCAATTCTATGGTGTCTGTATTTATTTTTTTAAGTTTTTCTTTGTATACAAAAGTTATTCTTATTTATTAGTTTTGTTAATAAAATTATGAACAAAATTTTTAAGTGAAATATAACTCATATAACTAATATCATTAGTTTACTTCAAAAACTTCAAAAACCAATATTTTTATTTGGGGATTCGGAAACTAAACCAAATATAGATCTGGCACACCTCGAATTACTTTGCATCCCATCATTATCATATATCTTAAAACATTGTTATTAGTTAATGATAATTTTAAAAATATTTTAAGAATTAAACATTTTTTAGATACCAAGTCACTACAACATTGTCAAGCCGTGTAGCTGGTTTGAATCCAGCTTGGAATGATAGCAATCAAGATGCAACAGTAATACTATCTATTTACATTTTATTTTCATTTTAATGTTGTTTAATTTTTATAATATATAGTTTAATAAAGTAAAAGTAAAAATCAAGAAATGTGAACAGCAGTAAGTTCTTCAACAGTTGCGAATTTGGAAGTTTCCTTAACTTTATCAAGAACATTTTAAAATTTAAATCAAAAAGTATGTTTGTTTGCATAAAAAAATATTTATACTATTTATTTGTCATCATATTAAAAATTACTAAAAAAATAATAAACACAGATAAACATTAAAACAGGTGTTTACTCTATTTAGACATTTTAATACATTAAAAAGTGCAGAAAATATTTTATTGAGCATCTTTTTTTTTTTAGTTTTTTAAGCTTAAAATAAAATCATAAAGCAAAACAAAACAAAAAACAAAAAACAAAAAAATAGTGATAATTGAATTAAAAGAAATAAAGAAAAATGATTAAATTGAAAATTAAATATTTAAACCAAATAATTTTTTAACTAAATTTTGGAAACAAAACTCAACTTTCAATTGAACGGGTCATTTCAGAAACACCACAAGTCATTTTTAACAAAAATATCATGGTATCTGAGGGAAGATACGTGTTTCTTTGAGAAATTACATTAGATCTTTCAGTCAACACCTTTATAAAGTGTTGACTAAAAGGTCAGACATTTATGTAACATGTATCTACCCTCATATAAAATGGTTCTGTGCTTCATCATTTTTTTCCAAAAATGACTTATGGTGCTTCTAAAATGACCCGTTCAATTATAGGTTGTTTGTTTTGTAGAACAAAAACTCAACTTTCAATTATAGGCTGTTTGTATTGTAAAACAAAATCTTTTAGTTATTAAGTAAAAAATTGTTGCAAGTAATTTTAAAAACTTATCAAAACTTTTCTTTGAAGCTATTAAAGGAATATACAATTACCATTTTGATGTTCTGTATACTTATTACATAGAGAGCAATTAAATTTAGAAAACTTTCTTTTATAAATTGACTTCGCCTTATTAATAAAAAAATTTATATATTTTGTTGCATTTAAATTGAATTTTATGTTTAGAACTTTGATGTGTTTATTTGTAGAACAATTACAAAATCTGTTTTGCTCTTCTGAACAACTTGTTAACTTGGTTGATAAAAATGTATTAAACTTTTCTAGTCATTCTCAACCTAATAACAATGCTGAAACCGCTAAAATAATAAGAACGTCTTATTTTAACTACTTTGTTTTTGTTCCATCAAGTTACAATGTTTTATTTAATTTTTACTCAAATTTTTTTAATGGCATACAATATAATAGTGGTTAGGTGTCTTTGAATGACATCAAGCTGGCCTAGAGGAATTTCGTTTGTGCCAAAACTAGATAAATGAAACATTTAGAGCATGAAGGAACATTTAGAAAATTCCAAAGTACTGATGTTCAATAAAATAAACTAGATGAATAAAACTTTAAAGATTTTGCAATAAATAGGTGAATTGATATATAAGTATATGTCCATGCAAAGCTAACAGAGTTTTTAGGAATCAAAGTATAATAACTATTATCAACTCTATGGTTGCAAGATGAAACAGTCAAACTTTAATTAATCTTCTAGTTAGCATTTCTGCACGTTTTCTAGTTCATTTTTGTACGTTTTTGCTAAGAAATTAAATTTTCTTACCCTTTGCTTAATAAAGCGAGTTCTATAAAGCAGTAGGACAGGACATGCTACCAGAAGTAGGGTGATCATGATGCTTTTAAATATCTTTTTATAAAGAGTTAATAAAGGGAAAAAAGTTAAGATTCGTTTCTCAGGTGTATTGATTTGAGATTTGATTTGATGTTAAAGTTACTAATTTTGAAGAACCTATTCATTTTTTTATTTGACCATGTAGAACATATTTAGGAAATTTGTATTTTGAATTTTAGATGTTGCTTCTTTAAATAGAGAAACACCTCACCACTAAATATTAGCTTATTGTTTTTTTTTTTTTTTTTTTTTTTTTGCTTGCTGCAAACACATAGTTTAACTTTGATTGTAAATAATTAAAAATTGAACACAGGAGTTTTTAGTTCTATTGAAATTGATTAGTGGTGCTTTTCTTGTTTTTATCCTAGTGTACATGGGACTAAAAAATAATGTTAAGATAAAAGATAACAAATAAGTAATTATTAAAATATTCAAATTTATCTTTAACAATTTTTTATTCTTTACCACAAACTTGCTGTTTTTTTTGGTAGTATTTTCATTTATGTTAGTAGTTACACTGGTTTGTAATTTGTAAGCCAGGTAACAAATTGTTAAAGAATTTTTTTTTTTTTACCTTTGTAATTTTATTAGAGTTTTTTTTTATTTGTTACATAAAAAAAAAATTTAAGAATTCTTGAAATAATGTCATGTGCTTTTAATAAATACTTTAAAAAAATCACTTGGTTGTTTGTTTTAAAAATTGTTTTTTTAGAGTGGATTCTATAAAGCCCTTGATATGGTTGGTTTGGAATTTTTAGACAGAATTCATTATTATAAAGACGCATGGTTACCTGCTCGGAAGATTGTTGAAGATGCAATTGATGAAAGATATAATGTATGATGGTTTTGAAGTTAATAATTTTTTAATAAGTAATTTTAATGAGAATGTATAAAGCATACGTTACTAATATTTTTTTTATTTTACATTTATGTTTAAAACTATTAATGTACCATGGTTTTTAGAAATGTGTTTTTTAGTACTTTTTTTAACAATTAACTAAAAGATTGCTTTAGAAAAACCTTACAAAATAAAATGGTAATAACTTTAAAATATTTCTCATAATTAACACTTTGTAATAACTTTAAGATATTTCTCATAATTAACACTTTTTAATAACTTTAAAATATTTCTCATTATTAACACTTAATAATAACTTTAAGATATTTCTCATAATTAACACTTGGTGATAACTTTAAAATATTTCTCATAATTAACACTTGTTAATAACTTTAAGATATTTCTCATAATTAACACTTTTTAATAACTTTAAAATATTTCTCATAATTAATACTTGGTAATAACTTTAAAATATTGCTCATAAATTATGCTTTGCAACAGCTTTTCATAAAGTTCAGAAAAAATCGATTTTTGCCTGATATTTTTGAAAATTGCTCCAGCTTTTATTTTGCTATAAAGGTTGTTGAAATTATCTGTATACAACAGCTTGGTCCGATTGGTCCGTCGCAACAGCTCTCACTGAAAGAAAATAAAAGTACAACATATTTACATGGAATAGCTTTAATTAACGTTTCTTACATTGAGTTTGAAGTTAAATTTACATGCTTTTATATAAGTTTACTTTCAAAAGTTATTGGATTGTTTTTGCTTTTTGTAAGTGGAAACATCACTACAGACCAGTTTTTAGGTATAATCATTCATCGTGGCTTTATTCTGTTATTCTTGGTATCACTTTTCCATTATCTAGTTCATCTTTTTTTAGTGAAATCAATTTACAGTATTTCCGCTGTCCCACAAACACAAGAAGCAAAGATACTTGATTAGTTCTTTTTTCTGTTTAAAAAAAAAAATTAAATCTTGACAAATGTCTCATTTGTCAAGATTTTAAAATTGGAGTTTTTTAAACAGAAAAATTTTTTTTTTAATTTTTTTCTGTTTAAAATCTGTTTAAAATTTGAGTTTTTTAAACAGAAAAAAAAATTTTTTTTTAAAAAAAATTTAGTTTTTTTTCTATCCCACTTAAAACAAAAAAATTTACCATTTTTTGTTTATATTTTAAAATGATGTTCATTACTACTTTTTTTTTTTTGTTGTTTTTTTTTTATTACTTATATGTAATTATTTTATTATTTCTAATTTTTTTTTTTTTAATTATTATCTAGATTGATGAGAGTGGTGAAGTGATTGTATTTCATCAGTCAGGATGCCCATGGAAAGAGCATTTATTTGATATCGAAATTGAGAAAAGCATTGTTCCTAATATAAAGTTTGTACTGTATCAAGACCAAAATCACAATTGGAGGGTACAGGTGATCTTAATGTTTATAAAATTAAAATTCGAAAGTAAATGTGAGAGGTCTAAAAGGTTGCAGGTAACTGCTGATTATTATGAAGTTTGAAATGAATTTGTGAGGTGCAAGATTTAATCAGGAATGTACCTGAAAATATTTTTTGAAAGGTGTCTGAGTTGTATGTGCTTGAGAAACCACATTGATGCTAATGCATATTTATTTCTAGAGCGTGCCAGAAAGACTTGGTTCGTTTGAAAACAGGTTTTACATTTTAGTTACAATGTTTATTTATAATCAGGGATGATGAGATAATGAGAGGATAATGAGTCTTAAATTCTAAATTTTTAACCTAGTGTTTAATCCTGAAATTCTAGATTGCATTCGAAGTTGTTCAAACAATAATATTTGAACTTAACTAAATATCATAAAAAGGCCAAAATTTAGAACATTATACTTACAGTTAAGTTGGTATATTTTATATATGTGCATATGGGCCAAAAATTTTTTTTTTGATTTTTGATTTACTATACCGTGGAAAACTTGTCTCTATTCTAACTAAGGAAAATGCAAAATATAAAAAATATAAATATACAAATAATATGTCTGTTGCAAATATTTGAATAAATATTCGCTTTTTATCATTTTCGTAATAAAGTTTGCTTTTTTCCCACAATGCACTACGAAATTGCTTTGTTTCTTTTATTATCGCAACATTCATGCATAAACCGTTTAGATGAAACACTAAAGCAAAGATAGTTTTAATCATTATGACAGATGATCATTACAATGAAAAAATACTGCTCTAGCGATCGCTGTTGATTAACAGAAAGAGCAGTAATAGTCAAACAAAAATAAAATTAGAAGAGCAAAAGTGGATAACCATATACAACTTCAAGGACTGTGTTTTGATGGGAGGAAGGACAAAGCTATATTTGTTGAAAAAATTAACTTAAAGCTTTGACGAACCATAAAGATAAATATTTTAAAGCTTTGACGAACCATAAAGATAAATATTACTCAATGTAAACGGAACCGGGTTCCGTTTACATTGATCACCCTTTTCTGGGTCTGCTGAATTTATTTTTCTACTTTTATTCAGTTTATATATATGTAATAAAACTAGATTTTCATTTCATGAACTGGATGTAATCAGGTACGACGGTACTGTTACTAACACAGGATGGAAAACTTGTGTTATTCACACAATGGAAAAAAATGTAAAAAGACCACTGTAGTTGGGGATTTGCCTGTTACTCTTCAACAAATCGCCATTTTTTAAACGTTAGACGGAGAAATGACCAAAATCGTTTAGTGATTCGATTTAGTGATCGGCGCACAGCCTTATAAGGAATTACCAGTGGTAAAATTTATCAGTGTTAGTTGTGAAATTCCGGAAACTGACTGGAACATTTTAAGCTAAGGTCAGCGATTCTTGTCGGATATATGTTCTGCTATTGAGCCTGGCAGATGTTCTGTAGATTTACCTGTTTGTGAACATGTAAAATTTCGCACTCAAGGTAGTTAACAACTGCAAATAGAGTTTTACGGTTGTATTTGAGCCATGAAACCTCAACAGAGGAGCACAAAATCAAAGTTTCTTTTCTTTTAAAATTATGGTTTCATATTTAAAAAACGGGAATACTTTAAAAGTGGAGGAAAATGTATTTGAAATGATAATGGTAGTAAACAAACAGGGTCATATCGATAAACTGGGTTTTAAAAGAATTAAAAAGGCAAGAGGCCTACCTTCTCAAAGAAAGTTTTTCAGGAGTTTTCTACCGTTGAAACACTACTAGGATTTTATCATTACCTGGCGAATTTCTGCTAATTACAATACTTTTTTTTACTTAATTTTTCTCTAGTTACTTGCTAAAGAATTTGTTAAATTTCGTTTTATTGTTAGAAAAAATATATTTTTAAATAAAAAAATTATAGAACGTGTCTTTAAATATTCAATCGCGATGCGTTAGCTCCAAGTGTAAAACATTTTTATTATTATTATTTATTTTTGCGTTACCCTTAAGAACCCTAGATGGAAGTTTTTCGTGGTATAGCATATCAAAAGTCAGAAAATTTATCTACCCACCTTATTGTGCATATCGTAGATCCTGTATACGTCGATTTTAATATATAAAAGTTAAATTTTAATATACAAATCTGTAGAATTCAAAGATTTTGAAATTTGAAAATTCACTCCGCATCCCTGATTTTACTACCCTAGCAGGAGTATAAATAAAAACGAAAATAAAACAAAACCAGAGGTAATTAATTAACCTGGTTTTATTTGATTTAAAATTTTTAAACTATGATTATCACTTTTTTTGCAAATTTAATTTAAGGAAACTTATTTCTTACAATATTCAGGTTAAGTCTCTGTGAATCATGGCGTGGTCTTCGTGATGATATACTTTCATCCACCTCTGGAATCCCTGGTTGCATATTTGTTCATGCTTCTGGTTTTATCGGCGGTAACAAAACTTACGAGGGAGCTTTACAAATGGCAAAACACACTCTTAAAGCATAATTTTTAAATGAAAATTTTATGCTAAATAGTAACGCAATTATTGTGTTTATAGTTCCATTAAATTCTTAAAGGATATTTCATTTCACATTGAAGTTGCAGTTTTCTGCCGAATACAATTGGTTGCTTAGTTACTTAATTAAATGAACATTTGACTAAATTTTATTTTTTAATTTAAGCAAACTTAGTTACTCATGTTTTGTTTAATAAACCGACACCGAATATTTCTTTTTTTTTTTTTTTTTTTTTTTTTTTTTTTTTTTTTTTTTTTTTTTTTTTAAATCCTTGTTACTTAAAGTTATTAGCATACGAAATTACCCCTGCAAAATTTATTTTTATAAACTTGCATATGAAGTTCTGAATATTTTTTGGGGGAAAATTTTATTTTATTAAATTTCTGTGCTAAACAAAAAACGCTTTTGCATATGCGTAAAATCTTTTTCAAAAACGTATTAAACTTTGATACAGGAAGTAGTTATTTAAATAAACAGCGTCTTGATTTTTTTTTATTATTCAATAAATATTCATTTTCAAAAACCGTAGGTTGTATGAAAAAAAGCAAAAAAATCTTTCACTTTTTTAGACGAAAATGAGTAATTTGACAATCAAATGGGTTTTTTGACAAAATAGGTAATTTGCAGAACTTCATCTATAAAGTTGCAATAAGACGGGAAATAATTAAATATTTATATATCATCTTTTGGTGATATAAATGTTAAATTATTTCCTGTATTTTACTACAGTTAGTAAAATTAGTACAGTTGCCAAGTGGTCTGCTTTATTTCATGATGGTAGAGAGTCTCAAAGACTAGGCCCCTAAAACCCCATATACAGGCTTGAATATTACTATCGACTTTATAAAAAAAATCATAATGACAATACTAACGTCGTAAGTCAAAATGTATTAATAAAAATTTTCACAAAAATTAAACAAAGATGGCCAAAGCAACTGCTGATACTAAAATCGGTTTTGTTTCAATTTTACCAACTTTTTCTGAATTTATGTTTAGACATAAAAAAAGAAATAAAAGTATTGTAAGAACGAAAAATTAAAATGTAGGAAAGATTTGTAAACGATCCAGCTGGTAGTCATTAGCTTAAGTTCCATCATTGTAAAACAAAATGGTATTACATATTAGTGAATCAAAGTATTCTGTGAAAATTTTATTGTATATAATTGTATCTCTTATTTTATTTTCTGGAGAGAAAATATTGTAACTAACTAATCTTTTAATGTTGCAAGATAAAGCTCTTGTTAAAAATAAAAGCTCTGGATTTCTTGAGGATATTTTTTCATGTTTCATTATTTATTAAATTGATGTACTACCAGGTAGAAACCATCCCAAATTCTGAAATGCGATAAAGGTAGCTTTAACATTCAACCAAAATAAATTATAATTTGCAAAAGGAAAGTTAAAAACGCAGTAACTGTTTCTCAAGTGTCAGATTATCAATCATATCAATTTCTGGAATAAGTTCTATCTCTTTTACTTTATTTTCTGAACAAAAAAATAATAAATATATTGATAGAAAATAAACGTTGGCCCAAAATATCTAAATGGTGTGACAAAAAAAAGATGATAAAAACGACTAAATGAAGTTTTCAGCAAATGCTGTGACCAATTTAAATATGCATATATATATATATATATATATATATATATATATATATATATATATATATATATATATATATATATAATGTAGTAACTAGCACATGTTTATAGCAAAAAACGCTAGTTTTTTTTTAGGTTTTTTCTTTAAATAAAATGTTTTAAAAACAATAAAAATAGTTCACTTAACCCTTGTTTATCTTAGGAGAGGGTTTTAAGGTGGTATACCTGTGAAGTTTTTTTTTTTGCACAGCATTATTTTAAAAGGTCAGGTATTGAAGTATCAAGGTATTTTTATTCTAAATATTTAAGTTTTATACAGATAAGCAGTAAAGCTTTTTGAGATCATTTATTTCATACCTGACCTTTTTGCGCTCATAGATATGTCTCAGCAACATTATATAACAAATTTTGATGCTTGTCTTTGCATGTAAAAGTTGTGGCTTTTTTTATAATATCGGGCACAGACGTCCGTAAGACATCTTTAAGGCGTCCAAAAAAGGTTCTGTACCCACTGGGATATTTGTAAGAGTGGTACTTATGGTGTAAAGTAGGGTCTTTTTTGCTTAAAGATCACTGATTGCACATCACAGCTTATTTTTCACGTTTTGAAAGTTGTAAAAAGAATGTTTTAATTTTGTAATTTTTGTAATACTTGCATATTTGTTTAGTTGATAATAAAAAACATCAAGTTGATATGTGGACCGAGAGAGTGCAACAAGCAAAATATTACTTAAAATAATAAGAGGAATTTAAAAAAAGATTTTTGCCATCAATATAGACAAAATTAAATTATTTTTTTGATCTTTTCTAATTAATCCAGTTTGTTCAAGTAGAAATACGAAGTTTATTAATTAACTTTGCAAGCGTTAAATCAATAAATAATCTAAATTTTAACTACCAAGCATGAAGATAAGTTATCAAATCTTAGTTAGCCAAAGATTTGTTTTTATGGAATGGTTTCTGCCATGCCAAAAGTATATAAATTGACATGAAAATAAACTGTATTGACATTAATATGATAAGCAAATGTTGGTTGTAGAATGTGGAATGGAAATAAAAAACACCAGAATACGAATTCTGGAATATTGAACATCAATGCAAGGTTAATCTTCTTTTTTGTTATTATTTTTTTTTTTTTTAGGTACCCCAAGAAGACCTAACTGTCTTGTCACAGAGCACCGCGGAACTGCGTTTAACCAGAAAAATCTTTACGCAATGAAAAAATTTGTTTAAGTTATACTTTATCAGTCGATGATGTTTACTTTTGCCACTAGTGTTATTCCCGGGAATTAACTTACTGGTACAAATTTTGTACACATTTTGATTCTACCGATCAAAAAAAATCTTGATGATGTGAAAATCAAAATAATAGAATAAAATTTTCTAATGTAAAAAATAAAGATAAAAAGAATGAAAGTTTTTCAAGTTTTGAACTAAATTTTTAGGTTTTTAAAAATACTATACTATATTTTGAAAAAATATCGTATAACAATATTAAAGCTGTTATACAACAGCAGCTTAAAGTTTTTTGATCATAAGATAAAAGGTTTTTTTTTGATACATTTTGATACACACTTTAATACATCTGCTTATTATAATGACTGTTTTTTATAATAATGACGCTGTTATAAATACAAAAAAAAAAATTTAATTTTAATTCCTTTATTTATTTTTCTGGTTACAATTGCATGTAATATATATATATATATATATATATATATATATATATATATATATATATATATATATATATATATATATATATATATATATATATATATATATATATATATATATATATATATATATATATATATATATATATATATATATATATATATATATATATATATATATATATATATATATATATATATAGTATATTCTATAAATAGAGTGCTCGATGTTCTTAAAGAACACAATAATAAATTAAATTAAACTTAATATTGTTAAGCTCAAAAGTTCATAAAATGTTTATATCTTGTAACTTTGATTTTTTTTTTTTTAATTTTAAAGGTAAGAAGTGAAAAAGGTAAAAAAAAGGTCTAAGTGACATATTAATCCAATATTGATAGGTATAAAAAAATTCGTTACCCCGCAATGGTAAAAATGAAGAAAAAATACTTGCAACTTACCCCGCCTTGGAGCAAGTTGCAACGCTAAACGGGTAATTTAAAATACTTTAATAGTATATACTTTGCAGTGAACTTAGCAAAATTATTAATTACTTTGTAATTTGTATTATTTCACATAAATTTTAAACTTATAATTAAAAAAAGGTAAAATACAAAAAAATCCGTTGATTCAAGTATTTTCTTTGAGATACAATATGTGAAAACTTATATAAGCCTGACATGTTTGCTGAATTTTTGATTATAATACATTATAAAAAATTTCTATAAATAACTTCATCTACAATTATAATAAAAACATCCATATGATATAAAAACATCCATAAGATTCTTACACCTATGAATTTGCGCAACTTACCATGTAGATGAGTCTATTTTTTAAATAATGTTTTTGTAAAAGATTTTTTTACGTCCTCTTTTTTAATTTGTTCATATACCTTTTAGTTTTCAATAAAACCAAAAAAAATATCGAACATGCATGTTATTTTATATCAGAAAAAAAAAAAAAAAAAAAACTTCCAGTTTTTATTTTGTTACAATAATTTTTTTAACTGACGATTTATATAATGTAAAAATATTTGGAAAAAAAAGATTTAAAAGTATTCTTTATATATCGTAACCTCTTGCTACTAGCCCCGATCACCCCAATACTTTTCTTTATAATCAAATATCATCAGTAGTGTAGCAAAAAGTTATTAATCCTCCACAAAGTTTTCATCCTTTAACTTACTTTCTAAAGTCACTATATTTTATTGAATATTATAACAAAATAATGTTAATATTATATTACAAAACTAACAATGCACAGGGCAAAATGTTTCACAAGAGCGTAGAAGGTGTTGAATGCATTGAAAAATTTTCTTTTTACTTTGCTTTGCCATGGCACGATACTTGTAGTTACATTCAGGGCCGCCGAGAGCTGTCACGTCGCCTGGATTAGCAATCCTTGTTGAATTTTCCCTATATTATATATGAAGGACCTTCTTGTGTAAAAATTCAAATTGCAAGGTTTGGCAAAAATGTCAAATATGCATACCAAAGTGATACGCAAAAGGCGCTGAGTTTTATTGCGCCAAAAAGTGCCGCACAAGTAAAAACTCAACTCAACGTCTAGTACCTCTAAACGACTCAACATCATCACAAGAATAAAAAAGCTTATTTTATTTGATTGATTTTTTTAATTGTTATTATTGTTATTTTTTTAAATTGTTATTATAGTTTTTTGTTTTTTTAATAAAGTGTTGTTTTAATTACACTTAGGAGAAAGCGGGGCAACATAGCGAACGTTTTGAAAACCTTGAGTTATTGCAAAACTATCAGTAGTGAAGCAATAATACCTTCTCAGTATGTTTATGTTATTAAAATGATTCATTGCCAGCATGAATTTTCAGTTTGCAAATATAACAATTTGAAATAATTATTAAAATAAAAAGTTCATAAGTTTGTCATCTAGTCGCGTGACCGGGGTAAGATGAC